AGTTCCAATCTACAAAAGTGAAAGCAGGGAAGACCCCCTCAATTATAGACCTGTATCATTGACAAGTGTAATAGTCAAAATATTGGAAAAAATAATTAAAACTAAATGGGTAGAACACCTGGAGGAAAACGATATAATATCAGACAGACAGTATGGTTTTCAATCTGGAAGATCCTGTTTAACGAACTTACTCAGTTTTTATGATCGAGCCACAAAGATTTTACAGGAAAGAGATGGTTGGGTTGACTGCATCTATCTGGACCTAAAAAAGGCTTTTGACAGAGTTCCCCATAGGAGGTTGTTCTGAAAACTGGAACATATTGGAGGGGTGACAGGTAAGCCACTAACATGGATGAAAAATTTCCTGACAGAAAAATGAGGGCCATAATCAGAGGCAAGGTATCAGATTGGAGGAATGTTACGAGTGGAGTACCACAGGGTTCAGTTCTTGCACCGGTAATGTTCATTGTCTACATAAACGATCTGCCAGTAGGATTACAGAATTACATGAACATGTTTGCTGATGATGCTAAGATGGTAGAACACCTGGAGGAAAAGATAAGAAACCTAGATGATTGTCATGCCCTTCAAGAAGACTTGGACAAAATAAGTATACGGAGCAACACTTGGCAAATGGAATTTAATATGAATAAATGCCATGTTATGGAATGTGGAATTGGAGAACATAGACCCCACACAACCTATAAATTATGTGAGAAATCTTTAAAGAATTCTGACAAAGAAAGGGATCTAGGGGTGGTTCTAGATAGAATACTGTCACCTGAGGACCACATTAAGAACATTGTGCGAGGAGCTACACTTTCTAACCTCAGAATTGCTTTTAAATACATGGATGGCAAAATACTAAAGAAATTGTTCACGACTTTTATTAGACCAAAGCTGGAATATGCAGCGGTTGTGTGGTGCCCATATCTTAAGAAGCACATCAACAAATTGGAAAAGGTGCAAAGACATGCTACTAAGTGGCTCCCAGAACTGAAGGGCAAGAGCTACGAGGAGAGGTTAGAGGCATTAAATATGCAAAAACTAGAAGATAGAAGAAAAAGAGGCGATATGATCACTACGTTCAAAATAGTAACAGGAATCGATAAAATTGATAGGGAAGAATTCCTGAGACCCAGAACTTTAAGAACAAGATGTCATAGATTTAAACTAACGAAACAAAGCTGCCGGAGAAATATACGAAAATTCACTTTTGTAAACAGAGTGGTAGACGGTTGGAACAAGTTAAGTGAGAAGGTGGTGGAGGCCAAAACCGTCAGTAATTTCAAAGCATTATATGACAAAGAGTGCAGGGAAGACGGGACACCACGAGCGTAGCTCTCATCCTGTAACTACACTTAGGTAATTACACACACATACACAGGGGTACCTCAGTTATCGAAGTTAATCCGTTCCCAAAGACAGTACAAAAACCGAAAAATACGAAAACCGAAACGAATTTTCACATAAGAAATAATGTAAATTGAATTAATCTGTTCCACACCCCCCAAATATATTAACTAAAAAGTACATTTTATACAGAATAATACTCTTAGGCATCTTACCTTTATTGAGGACTCTTGTTGGCATATGAAAGATGGTGAGGAAGATGGGGGAGGAGTAGAGGTGTTAGTGTTTGGAAGGGGAGACCCCTTCCAGTATAACAGCAGTGATAACATTTCTGGTGTACTCTCTCTCTTACATTTTGTTGGCATACCACTAGGACCTGGTTGTGGCTCACTGCTTGCTTGTCTAAGAATCTGTCTACAGACACTTGTTTTTCCCTATGTTTTAACACTTGTCTTTAGAGACATCACATTGTCTCACTATGAAAGTTTTCTTGTTTTTCCTCTATCGTCATCCTCAAAACTATTTTCTTAGGATGGACATTACCACTGACTTCCTTGGAACCCCTGGCATGATATATAATAAGAAGTTTTATGTTCAGAAATGAAAAAAGCACAAAAACAATGAAATTTTTTACAAAGAATTTAAGTGTGATCATCACTAGTTGGGAGACATTGGTAAACTGAAGCGCCATGAGCTCTGTGGACCCGTACGTGTAAAAACAAACTCCAAACACCAAGGCAAACAATGAGTACCAAATTTTGCTTCATCAATAATAATGCATGAAGCAAAATCTTGGGGGTTTATAGCTTTAACCAAGAGATAGGGCTACATCACCCATCAAACTATCATTTGATAAAGGGGTTTCAAGGTTCAGAAGTGTGAAATAAAAATATTTCTTAACAAAATACATAATACAGATGTGTGAGAGTGTGTGTACACTCAACTAGTTGTGCTTGTCGGGGAGGGGGGGGGGATGGTGAGCTCGGGCTCTTTGGCCCCATCTCTCAACTGTCAATCAACTGGTGTACAGATTCCTGAGCCTACTGGACTCTATCATATCTACACAGGGTTCAGTTCTAGGACCGGTAATGTTCATTGTCTACATAAACGATCTACCAGATGGAATACAGAATTATATGAACATATTTGCTGAGGATGCTAAAATAATAGGGAAGATAAGAAACTTAGATGATTGTCATACCCTTCAAGAGGACCTGGACAAAATAAGTATATGGAGTACCACTTGGCAAATGGAATTTAATGTGAATAAATGCCAAGTTATAGAATGTGGAATAAGAGTACACTAACCCCACACAACCTATAAATTATGTGAGAAATTTTTAAAGAATTCTGATAAAGAAAGAGATCTAGAGGTGGTTCCAGATAGAAAAGTATCACCTGAGAACCATATAAAGAACATTATGTGAGCAACCTATGCTACACTTTTTAACTTCAGAATTGCTTTTAAATACCTGTACAAGGATGGCGAAATACTAAAGAAGTTGTTCACGACTTTTGATAGACCAAAGCTGGAATATGCAGCGGTTGTATAGTGCCAATATCTTAAGAAGCACATGAACAAACTAGAAAAGGTGCAATGACATGCCACTAAGTGGCTCCCAGAACAAAAGGACAAGAGCTACGAGGAGAGGTTTGAGGCATTGAATATGCTAAAACTAGAAGATAGAAGAAAAAGAGGTGATATGATCACTACATACAAAATAGTAACAGGAAGTGATAAAATTGATAGGAAAAAATTCTGGAAACCTGGAACTTCAAGAATGAGGTCATAGATTTAAACTAACTAAACAAAGCTGCCAAAGAAATACAGAGGAACTTTGGTTTTTTAATGCCCCTGTTTTCGAATTTTTCAGTTCTCGAGCTCAATTTCTGGGAAAAATTTGACTCAGCACTCGAAGTTTGTCTCGGTGCTCGAGCCTGTTGATACAGCTATGGGCAGACTGAGCACATTTTGCACTTCAGTTTACCAGGGTCTCCCACCAAGTGATGATCACGCTTGAATTCTTTGTTAAGAATTTCATTTTCTTGCTTTTTTGGTTTCTGAACATTAAAGTAATTATTATATATTATGCCATGGATTCCAAGAAAGTCAGTGGTAAAGTTCAACCTAAGAAAATAGTTGTGAGGATGACAATAGAGGAAAAACAAGAGCTCATTCATAGTGAGACAATGTAGTGTCTCACTACAGGCAAGTGTTAAAATGCAGGGAAAAACAAGTGTCTATAGAGAGATTCTTAGTAAGACAAGCAAGCAGTGAGCCACAACCAGGTTCTAGTGGTATGCCAGGCAAAATGTAAGACACACACACCAGAAATGTCATCACTGCTGTTATAATGGTAGGGGGTACTTCCCTGATACTTCCCTTCCAAACACTAACACCTCTCCTCCTACCCCCTTCCTCACTGTCTTCCCATACACCAACATGAGTCCTCAATAAAGGTAAGGTACCAATGAGTATTATTCTGTATAAAATGTATTTTTAGTTAATATTTTTGGGGGTGTGGAATTGATTAATTAAATTTACATTATTTCTTATGGAAAAATTTGTTTCGGTTTTCCAATCGTCTCTGGGAACAGATTCAGTTTTAAAACTAAGGAACCACTGTACAAGACAATTCAGAAATTAAGGAACCACTGTACAAACAGAGAGGGTTGGATAGGTTAGATGAGAGGGTGGTGGAGGCCAAAATCGTCAAGATATTTCAGAGCGTTATGTGACAAAGAGTGCTGGGAAGACGGGCTACCACGAGTGTAGCTCTCATCCTGTAACTGTTCAGGTGCAAGAAGTGAACCCTGTGGTACTACACTCATGACATTTCTCCAGTCCAATACATTGCCTCTGATTACTGCCCTCATTTTTCTGTCAGAAAATTTTTCATACATGTTAGAAGCCTACCTGTCACTCCTCCTATATGTTCCAGTTTTCAGAACGACCTCTTGTGTGTGTGTGTAACTGTGGTTATGTGATGTAATGTCAGCTGCAGGCCTGGCAAGCCAAATTTTCAACCCTTCTTGAAAGATATAAAAAAATGATTTAGGTGGTCTGTGAAAAATTCACACTGACTATCCAAGCTAAATCAACTGCTCTGGGAGATTTAACATGTAGTGTTAATTCTGACATAAACACTGGTACTAATCTCTCTCTACACCAATACACACCAGCACCACCACGGTCGTCACTGTCATAGGGGCCACAGTCACCAGTACAACCCAATGCCAATAGCAAACCTGTCATAAGAGCTATAATACTGCCCAGTCTCCCAGAGCCTCTCCCTCTCCCCTCAAATATCCTGTGTGAGTATGAGCCAGGAGTCTAGGGTCAACCCAGGTCTTATCACGTAGGGTCTCCCTATTTCACCTATATATCCCTCCTCCCAACCTATATCCCCGAGCCTTCCCCACCCTGACCAAACCCCATCGAGAGAAGACATCCCGAGGCTTTACGTTCATCACTTCTCCCTGAGGTGGCGAGCAGAGATGAGGGTGGCGAGGCAGTCCTTTGTGTTCGTGGGACGATCAGCTGTTCCCGGGATGGCAGACGATCCCTGCCATCCCAATACATTTTGCTGTCTCTGTACCCTCCCCTGGACCTCTGCCCCCCTTCCTGACCTGCCCCCGATACTCACCTCTAATCTGTTCATGCTGTTGTGGTTCATCATTTTCATTTTGTAGCTGAGCTTTTCCCAAAACTGGGAAAATATTGGTGATATGTTCGCCAGGATGGTTGGTATCGGAGTTGCCAGTGTACCAGCGGTCCCAGGCGCTCTCTCACGCCGCCTCCCATTGGCCCACCTGCAGCATGCACTCCTTGTTTACTATCTTTATTTCTCCCATTTACCTCTTTCGCAAATTGCAAAATAGCATTCGAGTGGGATTTTGCGGTAAATTCTGTGCCGGGGAAGAATTTAGGTTGGTTAAATACGGGTGCCTGAGGGTGTTAGAGGGTGTGGAGAAGGGGTGAGAGGTGGCCAATCAGACGGCCGGACTGTCATAGGTTAGGCCGCAAACAAAAACAAACCAAAGCTTCTCACCTGAAACGTCATAGGTCGATGGAACCAGCTGATTGTAAACACTGCCACGCGGGGTGCTGGGCTCGCTGTAGGGTGCTGGGCTCGCTGTAGGGTGTTGGGCTCGCAGTAGGGTGCTGGGCTCGCTGTAGGGTGTTGGGCTCGCAGTAGGGTGTTGGGCTCGCAGTAGGGTGCTGGGCTCGCTGTAGGGTGCTGGGCTCGCAGTAGGGTGCTGGGCTCGCAGTAGGGTGCTGGGCTCGCAGTAGGGTGCTGGGCTCGCTGTAGGGTGCTGGGCTCGCAGTAGGGTGTTGGGCTCGCAGTAGGGTGCTGGGCTCGCAGTAGGGTGCTGGGCTCGCAGTAGGGTGTTGGGCTCGCAGTAGGGTGTTGGGCTCGCAGTAGGGTGTTGGGCTTGCTGTAGGGTGCTGGGCTCGTAGTAGGGTACTGGGCTCGCAGTAGGGTGTTGGGCTCGCAGTAGGGTGTTGGGCTCGCAGTAGGGTGTTGGGCTCGCAGTAGGGTGTTGGGCTTGCTGTAGGGTGCTGGGCTCGAAGTAGGGTACTGGGCTCGCAGTAGGGTGTTGGGCTCGCAGTAGGGTGTTGGGCTCGCAGCAGGGTGTTGGGCTCGCAGTAGGGTGCTGGGCTCGCAGTAGGGTGCTGGGCTCGCTGTAGGGTGTTGGGCTCGCAGTAGGGTGCTGGACTCGCTGTAGGGTGCTTGGCTCGCCGTAGGATGCTGGGCTCGCTGTAGGGTGCTGGGCTCGCCGTAGGTTGCTGGGTTCGCAGTAGGGTGCTTGGCTCGCCGTAGGATGCTGGGCTCGCTGTAGGATGCTGGGCTCGCTGTAGGGTGCTGGCCTCGCCGTCGCTGATATTATCTTCCTAGGTGACTTCAACTTGCCTGTCTCAGGTGGAAAATAGCAAACAATAATATTATACCAGGAAATCTATCAGGACCTAACCAACCACAGATTAGAGAACTACTTAGATTCTGAGACAAATTTTCACTCGGTCAGCAGATATCGGAGCCAACGAGAAATGAAAATATTCTAGATCTGGTCTTTACGAACAATGAAGACATTATCAGAGACATTACGATATCAGATACCACATACTCAGATCACAAACTCATTGAAGTGCAAACGACCATCAATACTCAGATTAGACCTAAAATGTTGATAAAGCGAGAGGGGCTATTCAGTAAATTCAATTTTAATAATAAAAGGATAGACTGGGAGATAATAAACAGGGAACTTACAAACATTCCATGGGGAACTGTTCTAAGTAATACAAGTCCTAAAGAAGGAATAGAAAAACTGACTTCAGAAGCGTATCAAGTCTGTTTGAAACATGTTCCTTTGAGGAAAGCAAGAAAGAGATCTAACGTAGAAAGAGAACGCAGACGACACTATAAACGCAGGAAAAAAATAACGGAACTGCTTATGCAGACACGAATTTCCCGTCAAAGAAGAAATAATTTAAATAGGGAGATTGAGGAAATCGAGCGGAAATTGAACCACTCATATGAAACTGAAGAAAGGCAGTTAGAACAGAAAGCAATTCAGGAAATAAAGAAAAACCAAAATATTTCTTCACATATGCGAAATCAAAAGCAAAAACCACTGCCAGTATTGGACCTATTCGTACAAGTGAAGGTTCATACACGGAGGATGACAAAGAAATTAGTGAAATCCTAAAAAAGCAGTATGAGGACATGTTTAGCACTCCAATAAACAACATGAAGGTGGAAGATCCAGACAACTTCTTTATGCGGGATATTCAAACCCCTGTAAATATAACTGATATAAACACGAGCGCACTAAATTTTGAAAAAGAAATTGAAAACATGCCCATGCACTCGGCCCCAGGTCCAGACTCATGGAATTCAATATTTATAAAGAAATGCAAAGTGCCGGTAGCACAGGCACTCAGTATAGTGTGGAGGAAGAGCTTAGACACGGGGGAGATACCAGATGCACTTAAAGTAGCAGACATAGCCCCTCTACACAAGGGAGGGAGCAAAGCATTCGCAAAAAAATTATAGACCAGTTGCACTAACATCGCACATCATAAAAGTATTTGAGAGAGTGATTAGGAGTCAGGTCACCAATTTCATGGAGACCAATGACCTTCACAACCCAGGCCAACATGGATTTCGAGCGGGAAGATCGTGCCTCTCACAGCTACTTGAGCACTACGACAAAGTCACTGAGGCATTAGAAGAAAAACAGAATGCTGATGTGATGTACACGGACTTCGCAAAGGCTTTCATAAATGTGACCATGGCGTGATAGCACACAAAATGAAGTCAATGGGAATAACGGGTAAAGTAGGACGCTGGATACTCAGTTTTCTGTCAAACAGGACTCAGCGAATAACGGTCAACCATATAAAATCTAGTCCAAGTGCAGTGAAAAGCTCTGTACCTCAGGGTACAGTCCTTGCACCGCTGCTTTTCCTTATTCTCATATCAGATATAGACAAAAATACAAGTCACAGCTTCGTATCATCCTTTGCAGATGACACAAAAATCAGTATGAAAATTACCTCGGCTGAGGACATTGAAAAACTTCAAGCTGATATTAATAAAGTTTTCGACTGGGCATCAGAAAATAACATGATGTTTAACAGTGATAAATTCCAGGTACTCAGGTACGGTAAAAATGAGGACCTTAAACATAATACAGAGTACAAAACACAATCAAATGTACCCATAGTAGGAAAACAGCATGTAAAGGATTTGGGAATAATAATGTCTGACGACCTAACGTTTAAGGAGCATAACCAAGCAAATATTGCGACAGCCAGAAAAATGATAGGATGGATTACGATAACTTTCAAATCCAGGGATCCCATCACAATGGTTGTACTCTTCAAGTCACTTGTGTTGTCCCGTCTTGAGTACTGCTCAGTACTCACTTCCCCCTTCAGAGCAGGAGAGATTGCTGAAATAGAGGGAATACAGAGAACATATACGGCATACATAGACGCAATAAAGCACCTAAATTATTGGGATCGTCTCAAAGCCCTCCAAATGTACTCACTAGAAAGAAGACGAGAGAGATATCAAATAATATACACCTGGAAGATACTGGAGGGCCAAGTACCAAATCTACACAGTAAAATAACAACGTACTGGAGTGAACGATATGGAAGAAAATGTAGAATAGAACCAGTAGAATAGGCACAATCAGAGAACACTGTATAAACATCAGAGGTCCGCGGTTGTTCAACGTCCTCCCAGCAAGCATAAGAAATATTGCCGGAACAACCGTGGACATTTTCAAGAGGAAATTAGATTTATTCCTCCAAGGAGTGCCGGACCAACCGGGCTGTGGTGGGTATGTAGGCCTGCGGGCCGCTCCAAGCAACAGCCTGGTGGACCAAACTCTCACAAGTCAAGCCTGGCCTCGGGTCGGGCTTGGGGAGTAGAAGAACTCCCAGAACCCCATCAACCAGGTATCAACCAGGGTGTTGGGCTCACAGTAGGGTGCTGGGCTCGCCGTAGGATGTTGAGTTCGCAGTAGGGTGCTTGGCTCGCCGTAGGATGCTGGGTTCGCAGTAAGATGCTGGGTTCGCAATAGGGTGCTGGGCTCGCAGTAGGGTGCTAGGCTCTCAGTAGGATGCTAGGCTCTCAGTAGGATGCTGGGCTCGCAAGAGGGTGATTGGCTTTCACAGGGTGTTGGGCGCGCCTAGGCTGCTGGACTCGCAATTGGGTGCTTACGGGTTAGTAATTTCAGGAGGCTGGGTTGTTAGCATGGACATTACCCGGGGTGAAGTATTAATTACAATTAAGATTAGGAAGTATGTCGTCCCTGGGGAGGATTACCTTACCCTGCGGTTACTTTTTCTTCCCAAGGTTCCGTGGATCTACGTCCCTAGGGGCCCGGTCTCTGACTAGACACCCTGCGGTTGCCGAGTGTAATTTAAACAGTGGTTCAATGCAGACGTAGTGATCACGTCACCTTCAATTTTTTTGTATTAACATGCTTAGGTATACACATAATGTGCTGCTACCCTGTTCTATATGAAAGATTACACAGTGTATATAAAAAAAATAGCTATAAGTTCATCTAATATTCCCATCTCACAGGATGGTTAGTCATATATGAAATCAAGGGAGAAAATACCTGCCTCAATAGAAAAACAAACCAACTTGCCCGAAACGCTATGCGTACTAGTAGTGGCTTTAGGTATTGTATGTACTTATCTATCCATATCTCAACTATGGTATTTGTGCTTGGGGCTCTACTACCCAAAATCACTTACGTCCTCTAATTACTCAACACAAAGCTGCTATTAGGACAATATCCAATTCTGGCCCCAGACACCACTCGGTACCCCTACTTAAATCTCTGAATATGTTAGACATTAAGTCACTGCACATTCTCTCATGTGTATTATACATATATAAAACGCTAAACTATAATGCCAATCCTGATCTCAAAAGCTTCATAGAAGGTTGTATCAGAACCCATGAGCACCACACCAGAAATAAATACAGTTTTGATATTCCTAGAGTACGACTTAATCAAACTAGAAATGCTCTACAAATCAAGGGGCCCAGAATGTGGAATGACCTTCCCAACCATGTTAAAGACTGTACCTCTCTCAACCAGTTTAAGTTAAAAGCGAAGCTATACCTAATAAATTCCCTGTAACCTACCTTACCCTTCTATTGTCAACCAATGTCTGTTTTTTTCTTTAAAGAGCGCTGTTTGTCGACATAATTGTATTTGTGCTGCTTTTTCATCTATGTTTTCATTTCTTGTTTTCATTCTACTCATTATGCTCAATTAGTATTAAGCTTGTCATTTAAGTTTATCATGCCCGAAACGCTTTGCGTAATAGTGGCTTTAGG